AATTTAGTCAAGCAACAGAATTATATCAGAAATTTCAAAACAGAGAATAAAAATAGAATAACTTTAAACATGTAATAATTCAATTTTGTATTGTTGCCTTCAAACAGATAGTTCAGCAGATGCAAACATTGAGAAATATTATGATTAGCGTTTGTTCATTTTTTCTTCCAATTTTTGTTTTGCTAAAAAGGAAGTATTTTTAGATGAAATAGGTGTCATCCGTATCTGAAGCATTCAGTAGTTTCTCAGTGAAAATATTAGATGCCTTTAGCAATTCTGAATCTTTCCATTTTGTTAACTGTAGCAGCTGAGTGACAACTGCAAACAGTTACTGATAACCGTAAACGTAGTCAACAATCAATAAACAACTAAACAATAATAGAAATTGAATCAGTTGACAACATCAGTCTACAAACAGTTCAGATGCTTATTATTAAAAAAAAAATGGCTTTTTCTGATGCTAAAGAAGCGGTAGCTTTAGTACAAACAAATTTTTTTAGTTGTATCTGAACCATTTTCAGCTGGAATGTAATAATTGTCAAAGCAGTCAACTGTTGCCGCTAATTTTGAACAACTGTTTAAACAGAAAAACTTACAGTTTAATCAGTAATACTTTCTCTATACAATAGATAAATTTATCACGAAAATTCTATTTTAAAAAACTTCAGTTAGAAAGTATTTGCTGTAACACTTTGAGGATAATCTGATGTGAAGAAGAAAGTGGCTAAAACAAAAATTCTGTTCATTGTTCAAAGTGTACAATAATTTCAATACTCATTTTGAAAAAAAAAAAAAAACAAGTTGTTAATTGGCTTAATTCAACCTAAGTTTGCTATTGAGATTGCTTAATGGTGTAATTGGAATGTTCAATGAGTCATAGAAACATTGAAATAAAAAACCAAGAAACTATTGATATTTGGTCGAATTCAGTTGTTTAGTTGCCAAAAACAAAAAATTTTTTTTGTTTGTTTTCTTCTATCTGTTGTAAACCAATACCGTTGTGTAAACGATTGTGCTTCTTTCAGTGGGTTTTTACTTTTGAATCAGATATTTACTAAGTCGAAGCTGTTGTCGTTGTTGTTGCTCTTGCTACTGACTGAAGCTGATTCCTCAAAATATTGTTGACGATGACTAATTTAAAAAAAAAGGTGAAGAACTCAACTGAATTGAACCGATTGAATACAACGACTGTATTACAGATCCTCTTCTACCGCTTCCAATGAGAACTATAAAATCTCAAATTTCTATGAAATTTTTGTAGTTTACAGAAAAAAAAAAAAGCTGAAAAAAAATGGTTCTTGATCGTAATAATGGTGCTACAAATTTAGCATTATTTGCCCAACTGAATCTGTCAGCTAACACTGATTTTAAACGATTATTACAATGACTGATGTACAGTTTAGAAAGTAATAGTTAACCAGTAAACTATATGCTAAAATTTAGTTTATGGCTATAGTTACCACTTTATATAAGTAAGAAGACTTTTAAATACCAAAAGAAAAAATAATTGTAGTATGGAAAATTTTTAATCGTGTTTTGTTTTAGCACTCGGTTACAGTCAAGTAAGAAACTGACTCTTTCTTTGATTGTACTCCTTCTACAACCAGACAAAATTTAAAAATTTGTATGAAAGTTCATTTTTTTTTTCAAAAATCTATATTTTAACCGACGTTAACTTTAAGTAGCTGGGAACAAAGACTAATGCTTTAAAGTGAAAAAAAAAAATTGTTGAAACTATAAATTATGCGCAATTTAAAAGTTGTGAAACAAAAGAATTAGATGTCAAAACAAATACTGTGACTAAAAGCAATTTCTCGCTTCATACTTTCTTTCTGTCTCCCTTCTTTTTGAGGCTAACTGAAATAATCTTCAGGTGCAAAAAATTCCAACTAACAGCTGCTGCAGCACAGCAACAACGACAGTCCAAAAACAATAAAACAATTGGCCAACAACAACAACAACACTCCATCGGTTCCATCACTGCTGTTGTCAGTGTTCATTTTCACCTCATATTTCTCTGTCGACTTTTCCGATATCTAACAGCTACTTTCAGACAATATTCATCTTTCAAAAATAAAAAAAGAAAAAGAAAAAAAAAGAGGAAAAACCTGTTAAAATTTCTTTTCAAATTGATGTTAGGCAATTCTATGTGCTATCGTTTTGCCATAAGTACATCTTCTTTTTCAACACACTTAACTATTTCAAAAAAAAAGAAGGAAAATGGTTAACAAATCAAGTTGTGAACCTATTTAAAGCCTGGCCTAAAAACATATATTGATTCTAAGTCTGTTTTTTAAGCTTAAAAAAGAAGAAAAACAACGGCATAAGAAAAATGAAAAAAAAAATGGAAACAAATTGCATGCAATCAAGGCCATTTTCAACCTAAGATTTTTCTATATTTACTCTTATATAATATCAATATTTCTTCTTTTTTACTTTAAGTTCCTTTTTTTGCTTATTTTTTTTTCTTATTCATTTTTAAACTCTCTTAAGTTATCCGCTTTTAAAGAGCATTATTGCGAGTGACACAGAAATTATTATCTACTTCAAAATTTTCGAGAAAACTCTTAAATCAGTTGGCTTCAAAAAAAAAAAAAAAAAAGTTGTACATATAGAAATGTTTGATGGAAGAGTGAAATTCTTTTTGACAGGACAAAGTGCTGCTGCTTAAACAAAAAAAAACGGCCAAAATATTCTCAAAATTAATCAACAGAATTGTTGTCGTTGCTACTACTACTTATAGATGATAACCATTTTACAACATATATTTTCAACGCTGCTGTAATATATATATATATATATATATATATATATATATA